TCGAATAACGTCCCAGTCTGTAAGGTCTCCGCCCGGACGGTGCCGTCCCTTGATGCGGGTCGCCCTCCAATCGCTCCCGTCATCCCAATTTTACGGAAAACCAGATATCTTCCCATTCCAATCAGAAGAAATCCTGTGATCATCAGGCCAAATATCCACACATCTTCGACGTCCTCAATGGACAGCTGAGAGAGACAGATGACATTCCACTTCTTCCAGGAATCGAGCATATATCCCGCTGCATGTGTCCCGTGAGAGCAAGCGCGAGCCCCCTCCTCCGTTCTCATCGTAGAAAAATCTTATCAATCGCATTGAATGACCAATTAATTAAATCCATTTCTGAAAAATAGTGATTTCCAGAGGAAATACAGAGAAGCGCTCTGAAGGCAGACGGGGCAAAAAGAGCCTTGGGAAAAGCAGATAAGGGAGCAAAGCAGAAGCGACCGTGCTCTGTGAGTGCCAGAAGAGAAAAGTGTTTGTCTTTACCTTTTCTAGCCTGGTCTTATTTATGTGAATATGTCTGGCCACGACCCAGAGACAGAGCTCGGAGGTGGAGCAGAATTTACGGTTGCTTTTCAAACTGTCTCTGCACGCTATTGGACAGCGCTAGGACCTATCAGAGCCAGGAGCAATGTTATGTATTCATAGTGATGGAAATCAGTCAACAGGGCAGTCTGCATACCTCTATCTCAGGCACGTGCAGAGGGGGGTGCGGAGGGTGCTTGAGACCCTGCCCCTTTTGTCCGAAGTGCCCAAAGTGCCCTTTTTCCGGTCGTTCGTCAGATTTTACCGTACAAAACTGTTATACTGTGAAACAAATCGGGCACTAGGACCATGCGGAGGCAGCCGCCTCAAGCTGAAGGCTATTTTCCCTTAGACCCGCCTACAAGCTCACTGATTGGCTCTGCTGCATCATACTAACGTGTGATTGGCTGTCCTTGCTGTCGCTCTACCTTGTAGCCATGGAGACGACAGACAGGTGTTTTTCCTGCGGACAGGAGTCTGCGTCCGTTCATCTAGCTGTAAGTTTTTTTTCTGCCTGCTTCACGTCAGCTGGATAGATTATCAGAGCTTTTGTTTACGTGCGTTTGAGTCCGTGGTTAGTGTGTGTGGAGCAGAGTCAGGTAGCTGCATATCTGGGACAGAAAATGAGACATGAGAGAGACTTCTCCTGAAGTGTTGCAGAAACTCAAAGAATCACGGATGTGTCTCACTCTAGATTCTCCGGGTCATAACTTCTGAATTACTAATCGCATAAAAATACTTCAAACGGTTTCTAAAAGTACATAAAACGAGCTTTCCAACGAGGTATTACATGATGTAATTCATGTTACTCCAAAAATCGCTATTAGAAGGAAACCAGCTTTGCAGCTTCACAGAAAGAAATGGTGCGGACCGAGACGGGAGAGCGAGAACCGAAAAGAGGAGATAGTCTGATCATCTTCATCATCAGCTTTTATAAAGTTATGGAAACGTCACAAATAAAATCCACCTGGTTGGTCAGGTGTCCCAGAAGGCTGTTTCTGTAGATGGTGACATGAGGAGGGACAGATTAAAGTCACAGTGGTTTTTATTTGAACACTCAACTGTTTACTAAATGATTCAGCTTCATTCCAGCATTATTTATACTTACAATAAATATGTATTTAGCTAAAAATATCATTTTATCAGTGCAGAATTTTATTAGTTGATTTTTTGTAATGAAATGTTTAGATTTAACCTTTTATCTGCTTATTGATCTTCATAATGCTGGTAGAAATGTAGCTACAGTTGTGAAGTAGCCCGAGTGTTATTTTATGATACCTAGTATTTATATTACTGTATCCCGTTCTCTGGACCAGAGCGTAGACCTGTGGTCACAGACAGGCTGCAGTCATTAAACTGGTTAACATGAGGTCAGGGGTCACACTGTTTTCTGAGTGTTTGCAGTTCTGAGTTTAAATACCGGTAGTTCTTTTGACATAGTTTGCTCAAGTCATTTTGAAGTGCCTGTTTAGTAATAAATGTAAAGAAAATTCAAATCTGTTTTTTTTTTCATTTAAGCTGCAGTTTTACAGACTTTAATAAACATAAACACTAAATACAAACCAGACTCTGAAAGCTGAGGTTGTTCTGAAAAAAGGAGCAGAGTTACAAACATTTTACACTTTTATTACAATTTTAAAGCCATAAAACAAAACAAAACAAAAAAAAAACAGTTATATTTATGGTCATAAGAGGGTTAAACGTGATAAATGTTCCACCTCCCACAAAGAGATGGTAAAAGTGAATGTGAACATAATTATATACGTTTTATTACTTTATTATGTATTTTTTATTATTGACTATTACTCCATAGATTTCAGATGAAGGCAACTGGACTTCTTTGGTTTCTTTAAAACATTTCACTTCTCCTCTGAGGAGCTTTGTCATTTCTAAATGGAATATGGGAGAGTCAAGCTCATAAGCTGTAGCTGTCTGTTGTTATTTAAAGAGCAGAAACTACTCTGAGTACCCCGCCTCTCCATCTCCTGATGAGTCGTTAGCCTCTATTGATGGTGAGTCATCGTGTTGATTAGATGCAGGAAGATGTGACCTAGACTGAAACTGAATGAGATTAAAAAAAAGTTCTAATCTTTTAAACAACGCTGTTGGTCCTCTTGGTCCTTGTTCTGGTTTTCTAAAACCCGGTGTTAACAACCTTGGTGTGTTTTTAGATGGTTCTTGTAATCTTTACAGACAGGTGAGTGCAGTGGTCCAATCAGGTTTTCATCATTTAAGGCAGATAGCAAAGGTGAAGCCATACCTTCCTGCTAATGTCCTCGAACATGTCATCCACCTGTTCGTGTCCTGCCGATTGGACTACTGCAACTCCCTGTATTCTGGCCTGGACCAGTCCTCCCTACACCGGCTTCAGCTGGTCCAAAATGCAGCGGCCCGCTTGCTGACTGGAACCAGCAAGTGGGATCACATAACCCCGGTTCTGTCCTCTCTCCATTGGCTTCCTGTCTCTTACAGGATCCGTTTCAAATTTTTACTTTTTGTTTTTAAATCCCTTCATGGCCTGGCCCCAGTTTACTTCTCTGAGCTGCTGTCCGCTTACGTCCCTGCCAGAACCATGAGGTCCAGCTCTCAAGCTCTTTTAACAGTTCCAAAAACCCGCCACAAGACTTGCAGCGACAGAGCGTTCTCTGTGGTTGGGCCCAAACTGTGGAACAAGCTACCTCTCAACATCAGGACCACACAGAATCTAGAGCATTTTAAATCCCTTCTTAAGACGCAATCTTTTGATTTGGCTTTTAATGCAGGCTGACTTGAGCATCTTAATAGCTTTTAACAGTTTTTATCATAGATTGTGACTGTTGTGTGCTCATCTTATTTTAGGTATTTATTGTTTATTTGTTGTATCTTGATTTGTTTTACCCTGTACAGCGCTTTGGTGTAGCTTTGCTGCTGTAAATGTGCTCTGTAAGTAAAATTGACCTTGACCTTGACCAAAGCTGCATTATTGGTTCTGGAAAGGTGAAATCTAAGCCCCCCCTATTTAAAGTGGGGTTTTCACGTTTTTACATAGATAGCTTCTTTTACTCCTCTCTCAAATCATCTATCTTCTCTGTCCAGAATGTGGACTTTGTCATCTTCAAAGGTGTGTCCCTTGTTCTTCAGGTGAAGGTGGACTGGAGTTCTGACCTGAAGAGGCGGCTCTCCTGTGTTGCGTTATGTTCTTGTGTAATTGTTGTTTAGTTTCTCTAATGTAAACATCTGGACAGTCCTCACTACACTGGACTGCATTAACGACCCTACTGAGCTTCTGTTTGGGTGTTTTGTCTTCTGGATGGACCAGGTTCTGTCTGAGGGTGCTGTTGGTTTAAAGTTTACCGGGATGTTGTGTTTGGAGAAGATTCTTCTAAGTTTCTCTTCGACTCCTGCCACGTATGTGATGATGGTGCCTTTGCCCAAAGGATGTTGCTGTTAGGTTGGTAGCAGAGCTCTCATGTTTAGTGTTAAGTTCAGTGAGATCATGGAATGGGATCAAGAATTTTCTACAGACAGGAAAAAGATCTCAGCTAACGTAGCTGTAGATCACACTGGATAACTCTCTGTGGTTGCATTTATTTTACATTTATTTTACCACCTCTTACTAGAGCTGTCTTTAGTAAGCACAAAATATCTTTGGTTGTACACCTGTGCAATAGCAATAAAGTATCTTGATTCCTGTTAAATGTACTTCCTGAATGAGTGACCTTTTCAGGCTAAAATAACAAAATGACAAATACAGACAGAAGGACGACTTCTTTCTTCTTTTATAATGCGTTGCATCACCACCTGGTATCAGAACAGGACTCAGTATTGGAAGATATTCAACAATCAAACAACTTGGACTCGGATCAGGGGCAAAAATGTGGTTGTAACACCTCTAGATATAAGTCAGCTTTAAAAACTAAAACTATTATTTATGAACTAACATTAACACTAATGACACTAATTTATATATTTTTATTATGTTGTTTGAACCCAAGGGTCTCATTATCTGAATTTTCTAACTTATTGGATTGCTCTATAAGTGCCCCTTTTTTTACTCTGAGCACCCGCCCCGTCAAAGGTCTCTGCACGGCCCTGCTCTATCTGCTCACGTCTCAAAGAAAAGCCCAAGTCTAAATCGTCCAAGGTTGACGCCAAAGCCACTTGAAAATAACGTCATTCCTGGGCTACAACCATCTTGGTTAGGGTTGGTTGTTTTACTCTGTCGCAGCTCTGCCGTCATCCTAAACACTAAACAAAACAGAAAAGCTCTGCTGTATTGGCTAAGCCCACCCATCGTCTCTCTACAGGGCGCTGTGATTGGCCCGACTAGAACTTAGCCAGGCCAAAGGTAGACCTGCATAGGCTGGACCGGAGCGTGACTAGACTGACCTATAATGGTTGGTCTATGCTTTTACTTCATCACATTTATGGTCTCGTATCTCCAACTGCAGCTCTACAAGGACGGAGTCACAAATCTGCACAAATTTACTCACCTGAACTCTTTTCTCCAAGAACATGTTTGCATTTAATGTACTACTTGCACAAATACAGTTAATGTAATTATAACAAGAAAAAGTGTCTGAAAAACAACACAGGTACACGGCGTATCTATAGCTTACATCGTTCAGTACAGTCATTTCACGCTTTGCACATATTAACACCCGGTTAGCATCTAGTAGTACTATGTTGCAGAATCGCAGCCATGTTTCTCTTCCTGTCTTCAGCTCTCCAAGAGGCAACTCTGGTCAAATGCTATACTTGTGATTAATAACTTCACTGAAGTTGCATTAAAAAAAAGAAAGGAAAGAAGAGTGATTTACATGCAAACCTGTCGCTCGTTCAGAAAAAGGCGTATCCACTAGAACCTGTACAAAACAGCAGGAAAAAGACGGCATGATGTCATATTCACTAAAACAACTCAGTCCAATCATCTAGTTTTTTATACAGCCCTATAATATTAATTCTGTTTTGGTTTGTACAACAGATTGAGCAGTTATCAAACAGTTCCTGCTACTAAAACAAACACAGGACATAGAAAAATACCTTCTGTTTCTGCTACAGGGGAACTGGATGATTTTGTTCTCAGCGTTTACCTCTTGTGAAAAGGCAAAGTTGCAGAAAAAGTCCTGTGTGGTCAAAGTTTTTCTATCAAAACAAAGCAATAAGGAGGTCAAATGGATGCATATATTAGGAATACTTCATATATGTTAAAGGTAACCTTTTCAAGTGCAATTTTAACTAAAAAATGTCTAAAAAAAACATTTCTTCTGTTTGCTACTTATGCAATGCACACATCTCCCTCTAGTGGTTATTTTTTACACTGCAGCTAAAACATTCAAAAGGATGCATGCAAAGGAAAATAGAAGCTTGCTCACTCTGGGCGGTAGGAAGCCCCGTGTTTGATGTCAGAATCAGGGCTTAGAAATAAATAATTACATATTTAGTCCATGTCTATCCCTCTACAAGTGTTCTCTAAAACAACAAACGCATGACACTTCCACGTTTTGTGCCGTTTTTCTTTTTCTGGTTGCCAGGGATGGAATCGAGTCTCAGAACCCCTAAGTGTAGGAGGGAACTCCTCACCTGGCACTTTGTGGCTAATTCTTTAACTCAATCAATTCCACAAATCTCCCAAACCCTGGTTTTAAAAAACAACAACATGGGTTTCGTTGTTTCGATGACACGCTGCTCATCAACACCAGCAGCCTTTGTGCTGGTCACCAGGCGCTCTGTCACTGAGTCCTTCCTCCTCCTCCAGAGCAGTGAGATTAAGCTCATCGTTGAGGGACATCCGGAGGAGATCCAGGTCCTTTTTGTTGGCTGCCAGCACCTGCTCTGCCAGCCGTGTAAAAGTCTAGAAGGACAAATTAATAAAAAGATCAAGTCGTTTGCTCCTATGATCCTGTTAATTCTGTGAATTTTCGTGCGTTTCCTTCACCTCACCTCTGTTATGTTGTGGTTGGTGAAGGCACTTGTCTCAAAGAAGTCCATCCCATAAGCTTTAGCAAGCTGGAAGTGCAGGGAAATACATTAAAGGTGTGGTTAACATTAGCAGTGATCTTTAGCCTTGTTGTACGGGGGGGGGGGGGGGGGGGTCTGCCTGTTTCAGGAAGTACAGTTCAGCTGGAGGAGAAAATAGCTTCAGACGACAGGATTTGGAGTCTTATTTCCTGATATTTAGACATCTCTGCTAATGCTAATGGTTAGCTTCTACTAGCTGTTTACTGGACGCTAAACCAACAACAGCCTTCCCCGTCGTGAGTCAAGATGGGTGAGTCCATGAATGTTAGTGACAGTGTGACGTAGATCTGTTTCTATCAGAAGCTAATGCAGGAGATAGGTGTAGGAGACCATTTTCATGTTCAGCCTGCAGACTGACCCATTACAATCAGACATAATAATTTAAAATGTTTTTTTCAGTGTTCCACACCTTTAAAAGGAAAAAATACAGTCTCACCAGCTTATTTTTTTATAAACATTGAAATTATGCATTCGAACATTTTTAAATTGAAATACACCAGAAAAAAATTCCTATGCTCAACAACTGAGGTGACCTCAGGGCGACACAGGCCAAAGCAATCATTACCTGATGGAGTTGACGCCTCAATGGTGCCACATGATCAGAGAGGCATAATTTGATTGGTTAAAAAGTCACTCGACACCATAGGGAGCCTAAGTCCCAATCATCTACTTCCGGGCCATGGGTTCCCGGAAGAACAACAAAATGAATGTAAGTCAACAGGGCTAAAAACGCCATTTTCTAATTCCGCTTGTTGTGTTCCATGGATTTCACATATGATGTCCGTGAATTTTAAAGACACATTTTGATACCAAGAATGCACTTATTTTCAAACAGGAAGAAACAATATTTTAGGTTTTGTGTGAAAATAAGTCCAGGACTACAAATGCGCTTCACAAAAGTGACGTCATCAAACCGGACACGGAGAAAACTGAGGGAAAAGAGCTGTAAGTTCAGCAAACTTCCCACAAGAGGAAACAACCACCATAAATCTGGTCATGTGGTAAGTAGCAGCTATGCTAGGGGAGAGGAGATTATGTGGTGACGTCACATATGCGACGTACCGATTTCTAGTTTGTAGTCATGCTAATTACAAACTTTTACAAGCTGACAAATCTCAAAGTACGTGACAGGCGTGGTAGAAACACCCATCATTAGTTTTCATTTAAATTTCAGTACAACATATGTGTGATCCAGACTGTAAGGCTAAGCGGATTAGAAAATAGCGTTTTTAGCCCCGTTGACTTGCATTCATTTTTTCGTTCTTCCGGGGACCCATGAGCCGACCGGAAAGGGAGGAGACTTAATCCTAATTTATACTTCTCCGTCTGCGCGCACAACACCGTTATACGTCCTTTCAAGGACTCTCCGACAGGCTCGCAAGGACGGACGGAGTCAAGCTCTCTTTTCTAAACATCCGTCCGTCGAGACGAAGAACGCAAGCTTGTGATTGGTCACGACGCCGCTGTTGTCTACACCGTCGCCATTGCGCCCTCAAAAACATAAAGAGAGCCGAGGATATCTAGCGGCAGACACAGTGAAGCTTGAAGAATACCTCACGGAAAAAAAAATATGAACGTTTTATCCCCCGTGACTGGAGGGGTAAAAAGCGTTTTATTCGTGGATGGAAATGACGGGAAACATAGGTGGTGAGCGCATTAAAAGGTGAAGGATTTGTAGGCATGTGTCATGGTCTGTGTCTGCGTCTCCCCTCTTGTGTCTCCTTGTGTCCTCCTCCATATCTGTGTCCTCCATAGCTCCTCCATATCTGTGTGAACTTGTCCATTACTACAACCCGCTGCGTGCTCTCAGGTCTGAAGATAAGCTCCTCCTAGTTGTTCCCAATGCACGTTTAAAAAGCCGTGGAGAGAGGGCTTTCTCTGTCTGTGCACCGAAGCTGTGGAACGCATTACCACTGCTAGTGAGGCAAGCACCAACAGCTAGCATTTTTAAATCACGCCTGAAAACTCACTACTTCAACCTAGCTTATACAACATAATTATGAACCTCACTGACATCTGCACTGTTTATAAACTGACCCCACAATTATCGACTTCTGTACTATTGAGGTTCTTTGTAAAATGTTTTTTCCTATTTTTACTTCACCCTGTGTCTTAATGATTTTTTTAGCTGTTATTTTTGGGAATTTTGTTGTATTTCCTTTTTATCTTTTATCTGTGTTCGACATGTTTATATAACGCCTGTTTAATTAACCAACATTTTTAGTGTACAGCGCCTTGTTGGGTTGTAATGCCTTGTGAATGCGCTTTATAAAAAAAATTGGATTGGATTGGATTGGATTGGATTGTGTCCTCCATTTGTCTCTAGGTGCTCCTTTTGTGTCTTCTAGCGCCCTCATGTGTCATGTCTGCGTCTTCCTCATGTGTCTCCTGGTTTTCCCCATTTGCCCCTAGAACTCCAGCCCTCTAGGTTTCCCACTTCAGATCATTCAGTCATCCCCAGCTCAGTGTATGTGTGTGTGAGTGTATATGTGTGTGTGTGTGTGTGTGTGTGTGTGTGTGTGTGTGTGTGTGTGTGTGTGTGTGTGTGTGTGTGTGTGTGTGTGTGTGTGTGTGTGTGTGAGTCCTGCCCTCAGTCTTTAGGTTTAGTTTTGTGTTTTAGAGTTTTAGGTTTATTTGCCCTCCTCTGGTTCTGTTTCCCCCATTTAGATAATTATATTCACCTGTCTTCCCTCCAGCCCTCACTCCACACACCTGCTGCCCGTTTCCCTAATTACTCTCCCTGTGTATTTAAGCCCTGTCTTGGCTCTGTTTTGTAGTGATGATGATGTGAAGCCTTTTGAGCCAACAAAGCTTTACAATCCAATTGTATTGAAAAAAGGTTCAAGGTTCGGTGCTTCAAAACTCTGTGAGGACATCTGCTGGTAAATGTTTGTATTTCATTGTATTGTCAGCCAATTCTACTGAAAATGAATGGTGTATTGAACTTTATGGACAAATAAAGCATTAAAAAGCTTCCTCAGGATCATATAATAAAAGTATCTTGAATTTGAACATTACATTAAATATACTAAAATTGCTTTTCTTGGTGTGAATACTTGAAATGAAACAATGTTTATTTTTATGGGATACGTGATGAAATATATCTAATTTACACATATTAACATTCTCTACATATTCAAATATTTTACTTTTCACATTTCTATTGGATTATTAGGCAGGAATAATTAGCTCAATTTATGTATCTTTTTTAGAAATAGAGTAACAAAATGAAGATTAGAAAATTCACATAAGGATAGGACATACTAAATTCCATTACACGTACAACCAAACTGAAAAGCTCATCAACTATTATATTAATTACCAATAAAAGAAGAAAAATCATACCAAACTAGATTTTAATTTAATTAAAGGAAAATGACAGACGGTCTGAAAGATATAGCCCTAAAATATGCACCAAGTATTACTACTATAAAGGTAATTTACTAGACTAGACCAAATACATTTTCAAACCTTATTTGGAGAGATTAAATTGAAACATTCCCACATCTCAGAACGCCCTCTTTTTGCTACAGGATCCATTTTTGCGACTCGGTGTTTAATCACTGAATACTGAATCCTGAACCGTCAATCTCAGGTCATACAAACCTGCGCCTCTCGGTTTGCGTTGCTTTAAATGTTTGAAACAACGTGTGAAGCGGTCACATGGGTGGAAGGGTGAATCGAAGCGTCGTTGCTCATTGGTCACGTGACTTTCAGTAAACAAATCAAGCTCCGACACAGTGCTTTGCTCTGCGGTGGTTCGTTTTGGTGATACAAGCTTCGAATCCTGCGTGTCACAGGTAACATCACTACTGTTTTGTGTCGGTCCATTGTATGTTTGTCAGCGTTGTTTCGTGCTCTATGTGAGCTTATGTCTCCAGGTTTTGGTGCTCCAAGTAAACTTACGGTGTCCTGAGTTCCAGGACTTTTGGACTTTGTGCTCTAAGTGAGCTTTTGTTCTTGTTACCAGGGTTTTTGGATTTTTGGCTCGCTGCCTTTGGATTTATTTTTGTTCGTCCTGCAAAATAAAGGATTTTTACTTTATACCAACTCCTGCCTCTTGTCATCTGGGTAATCTGCACTTTGGGTCCTAACCATCCCCTCAACGTGACAACATGAATACGTAGACACCCCATTGAGCCCTGGAGAGCGTAACGGCGTCACCGCCATATTGGATGGGTCTTCGTTTTTGTGCAGCCTACGGTTACAACAACCAGTGTACTGTTGAAAATACATCACTTTTTTAGCCTACCTGATGGGATTATTTTGTATTTTAATTTATGTTGTTTTTCATGCTATATCACGTGTCTAATTTTGTGAGAAAGCTTGATAAAATGTGTTTTTTTTTAGTTGGGTAAGAACCCTCAGTAGAAATGAATGCACTGTGGGCGAACAGAGACCCATCTAAGATGGTGGCTGGCCACTACGGCAGCTCCAATAAGCAGTGCAACTCCAAGAGTCTGAGGGAAAGAGGGTGAAACATCTATGGAGGGTCTATCATCCTCTAGAACTGCTGTTTGTAAGTTTTTTCTAGGAACTTTCACAATGCATTGTGGGTAGCCTTGGAGTTTCTTTACTGGTGCATGAGGAAAAGGTGCAGCTGGGCTCTTTAACAAACAGAGCATGACAAATACAAGTGCTGAATGTTGCAGCTGTGCTAGAAGACATTAATACCTCAGACTTAAAGCAATATCTGATCAATTTCACTGAACACGTCGACTTCATTTGTAAATGTAATCCAGTGTGCAAAACTAAGAAACCACCTGTAACTGACCCACCTTGACCCCTTGCTCGGTGGCCACCTGCCTCCTGTCCTCTTCATCCGACTTGTTCCCAACAAGAATCTTCTGGACCTTGTCCGGAGCGTACTGCAGGATAATGAGGGAAATAAAGGAGAGAAAATTACATTAGGAGACAAAAAGCCAGATTTAAAATGTCAAACGCTGGCGAGGAAAACTGGAGTTGCCGCAATCAGGAAATGAGACTGTGATTAAAAGTAATTGAGATGCATGCAGAGACATCCAGAGTCTACTGTTAGAGGAAATTAGGACTAAATAAGATCATGTGAGATATTCACAGGCAAATAACGGAGCCTTAAAGGGAAAATCTGCAACATTTCTGTTGCTTTCCTAATGTGGAAAATGTGCTTCCTGATTTTCCAGCCGCTCTTAAATCTCCGGTGACTCACTTCATCCACATCACTGGCCCACTTCATGATGTGCTGGAACGACCGCTCACTCGTGATGTCATACACCAGAAAGATTCCCTGTAAAAAGACGGTCAGAGATGATGACACCTGTAGTCACGTTGGGAGTTTTTCACAGAACTGGAGGAAAAAAACTGAAATAATCAGATTTATGTAACAAAAACAGAACAATTGGCAGCTTTTCTCCTAGTGACATTTTTTAGTAGTGAGCTACTGGCTGCACGAGAAGCAAAACAGGAAGCAGACGTTCAGTAGATGTTCAATCTGGATTTATGACCAGCTTCTGGTCAAAATTAGAGTTCAGTTCATTTCTTTAGTGGCAAAAAATAAATAAATAAGGTTTGACGTGTGTGAGGTGTTCCTGCAGCTGGACGGAATTTATTTAAACTTTCAGAATGTAAACCTTAGATGCACGTTTACAGCTGATTAGCGTTGTTTAGTTCAAGATGGCGGTTGCAACTTATCCATCTCAGCAAAAAGTTACTCAAATTTATAGACATGCAGCTGTAGTGCTCCCTGCGCTAGAAGCCATTAATACTATCTAATTAAAGCACTAACTTGACTTCACTAAACCTTTAAACAATTATTGTGGTTTAAAGTAACAACAGATAGTTTAAGAAACTAGCTAGAACTTTAACTTTGATCTCAGTAATTGCTGAGTTAGAAACTTGACCAGTTTCATATCTAACACCACTCTGCTGCCCTATGCTGGCCAAAAACTGCACTTCACAGTTTTGTGGAGTGGGTAGGGGTCCTAGGGGGCGCTCTTTACCTGCTTTATAGCTGATAGCTGTAATGCTAGCGATTAGCATTTTTGGTTTGCCAATCATCAATGAAAAGCAAAAAAAGAAGTTTGCTTTTCCTGTTGGCATCATGGTGGAGCCTAGAAGTAAAAGTGAGAGAGTAATGTCTTTGGAGACAAAGCAAAGTGCTAAAACAAGAGTGAACATTGGCGCTGTCTACACTAGTTTGAGGGAGCTAAAGGAAAAAAAATCACAGACTGATGGAGACCTGGCCTTGTTGCTACAGTGTGGATCATTTTACTTTGTGGTTTATTTTAGTATTAGTTGGCTCATGTTAGTGTTAGCTTGTTGTTAGCGCAAGCTACAGCAGAATTAACTACAGTTGTAAATCCACTTTTTTTTAATTATCTTTATTTCATTCAATAAAAAAATAACACAACAGATACTAAACAATATTCATAAAAACACAATATATATTTGAATGAAAGGGAGCAGATAGAAGAAAAATCTTATTATTTCTGCCCCCTTTTTAAACTTAAACATCAATTTATATTTGTGCAGTCCCTCACCAGTTCTTTCAGTCCCGTAACTGTTCACATTTGTTAATTATTATGTCCACATCAATTGTCCGTTGTCATATCCACTCAACACACGTGATTTAATGTGTAGACTGAACACTTTTAGAGTTCTTAACTCTTTCCATTCTCTGTCCAGGCAATTCCACAACTTCACACCATTCACAGATATGCTCATTTCCTTCATTCTTGTTCTAAATCTAGGTTTTTTGAAGATTTCAAATCCCTTCAACGAATAACTGCTATCTCTCTTTTCAAATATATGCTGAATATTCTTTGGCAATGTACCTTTATTTGCTTTATACATTATATGCAATATTCGCCAGTTGACCAAATCATGAAATTTAATTACTTTATATTTTATAAATAATGGGTTAGATGGAGCTGTACTATGAGTGTTGTCTATAATTCTCATTGCTCTTTTCTGCAAAACAAACAAAGGTTGTGTATACGTTCTATATGCAGTTCCCCAGATTTCTACACAATAATTTAAGTATGGCAGAATCAGTGCATTGTATAGTAATAACAATCCTTCACTATTAAGTAGAAACTTTACGCTATATAATACTGCAATGGCTTTGGCCATTTTACCTTTTATATAGCCTATATGTGATTTCCAGCTTAGAGCTTCATCAATCATTACTCCCAAAAATTTGATTTCTTTTACCCTTTGAATTTCCATGTTATCTATTTCTAATATTACGTCTATATTTTCTTTGTCATTAAATAGAATGAAATTAGTTTTTTTAAGATTAAGTGTTAATTTATTTATATCAAACCAGTTTTTAACTTTTATCAGTTCAATATTTATCACATGAGTTACTTCATTTATATCAGACCCTGAATAAAACAATGTTGTATCATCTGCAAACAAAACAGAACCTAGTTTGTCAGACACATTTACCAAATCATTAATATACAGGTTGAACAATTTTGGTCCAAGGACCGACCCTTGTGGCACTCCATAAGCAATATTTCGTAGCTCTGATGTAATGCCATTTATCTGAACATATTGCTTTCTGTTATCTAAATAACTTCTAACCCATTGATGAGCAACCCCTCGTATTCCATACTGATATAATTTTTGCAGTAACCTTGAATGATCGATAACGTCAAAAGCTTTCTTTAAGTCAATAAAAAAACTAATAAAGTATTCTCTATTGTCTATCGCTTCAGATATTTTCTCTGTTAAATCCATTATTGCCATTGTTGTTGAATGTTGGGTCCTGAATCCATACTGTTCATTATGTAAAATCATATTTTTTTCAATAAATTTATCCAACCGTGATGCAAAGACTTTTTCTAGTATTTTGGAAAACTGTGGAAGTAGTGACACTGGCCTATAATTTGTGAAATTATGTTTATCACCATTCTTAAACAGTGGAACCACTTTTGCTATTTTCATAGCATCAGGGAAGACTCCAGTAGAAAGTGACAAATTACATATATAAGTAAAAGGATCAATAACAGATTCTATTATGGTCTTTACAGTCATCATGTCCAAATCCTCACAATCAGTTGATCGCTTATTTCCACAGTTTTTTACAATTTCTCGTATTTCCTCTTTTTCTACTTTGCCAAGGAAAATACTACTGACATTGTTTACTACTGTATTCAAATTGTCTTCAATTAAAGTGTCATGACCCATCAAACTCCTCCCTACATTTACAAAAAAATCATTGAATTCATTAGATTTCTTTTACATCATAAATGTCTACATTGTCCTTGACAAAGTAATTTGGTACCTTAGATTTAGTTTTATTTCTGTTCGTCACACTATTTATTATTCCCCATGTAGCCTTTGTATTAGCCTTATTCTTTTCCAATAATTCACCATAATAATCTTTTTTCCTTTTCCTAATTATTGCTATTAATTTATTTTTATATTTTTATATCGGTCTTCTGTTACTCTTGTCTGTGATTTAAAAAAATCCTATACAGCTGTTTTTTTTTTTTTTTTTTGCACATGCATTTCCAGTAGGGTGGATGAGCAGGAAATTGCTCTGTGAATGGTGGCAGAGAATATGGATTCCTTTGAGGGCTTTCGGTGTATTTACGGGCAATTATAATCACTCGTGCTGCAGGGCGAGGGAGGCACCTGTGCTCGTCGGTAGTACTGCTTGGTGATGGTCTGGTACCGTTCCTGGCCAGCTGTGTCCCTGCACAGAAACAAGCAGCATGCAAATGATTTGAGATTATAAAAGTCAGATTATTTAGAGTAAATAATAAAAATACTCAGGTTGATTGTTTGCATTTAGATAATGTTATGACTCCTTTTGCAGCTGCTTTATAAGCAAATTTTTTTTCACTTTAAATGATCCATCTTATATAAAATATTACTGAAAATTAATATAAATTTTTTTAATGTCGTCGTCATCATCTTCCTCCGCTTATCCGGGTCCGGGTCGCGGGGGAAGCATCCCAACTAAGGAGCTCCAGACCGTCCTCTCCCCGGCCTCCTCCACCAGCTCCTCCGGCAGGACCCCAAGGCGTTCCCGGACCAGATTGGAGATGTAAACTCTCCAACATGTCCTGGGTCGACCCGGGGGCCTCCTGCCGGCAGGACATGCCCGAAACACCTCCCCAGGGAGGCATCCAGGAGGCATCCTGACCAGATGCCCAAACCACCTGAACTGACTCCTTTCGATCCGGAGGAGCAGCGGTTCTACTCAGAGTCCCTCCCGAATGTCCGAGCTCCTCACCCTACCTCTAAGGCTGAGCCTGGCCACCCTATGGAGGAAACTCATTTCGGCCGCTTGTATCCACGATCTCGTTCTTTCGGTCATTACCCAGAGCTCATGACCATAGGTGAGGGTTGGAACGTAGATCGACCGGTAAATCGAGAGCCTGGCTTTCTGGCTCAGCTCCCTCTTCACCACGACAGATCGGCTCAGCGTCCGCATCACTGCAGACGCCGAACCAATCCGCCTGTCGATCTCCCGATCCCTCCTACCCTCACTCGTGAACAAGACCCCGAGATACTTATAATCCTCCACTTGAGGTAGGACCTCTCCCCCGACCCGGAGTTGGCAAGCCACCCTTTTCCGGTCGAGAACCATGGTCTCAGATTTGGAGGTGCTGATCCTCATCCCAGCCGCTTCACACTCGGCCGCGAACCTACCCAGCAAGAGCTGAAGGTCAGAGCTGGATGAAGCTAGGAGGACCACATCATCCGCAAAAAGCAGAGACGAGATTCTCCTGCCACCAAACTTGGCACACTCCACACCACGACTGCGCCTAGAAATTCTGTCCATAAAGATAATGAACAGAACCGGTGACAAAGAGCAGCCCTGGCGGAGTCCAACCCTCACCGGGAACAGGTCCGACTTACTAGCGGCTATGCGGACCAAACTCACGCTCTTCTGGTAAAGGGACTGAATGGCCCTCAACAGAAAGCCACCCACCCCATACTCCTGGAGCGTCCCCCACAGGGTGCCCCTGGGGACACGTTCATAAGCCTTCTCCAAATCCACAAAACACGTGGATTGGTTTATTTAATCCAGCAAACGAACAAATGAATCAGAAAAATATTCAAAAATACATTTTAAAGTGATTTTTTAGTTTTTCTTTATTTTGATCAGTTTTTAAGGGATATTTGAGTACCCTCAGTTCACACCCTTTCATTTTTTTTTAATCTAATTAACAAAGTCTTCTTTAAAAATGTGTCTCTCGTCTCTTCAATTCTGGATCCTTTGTTCTTTAAATCATGATGTCTACATCATGGTGTACGCTTTTTTTAAAAAAAAATTCACCATTTAATCCAAAATAGAATTAAAATGTTATCAACAGAAAGCTGAACTTTGCTGCTGCCCTGAACATGGGATGAAAATGGATCCTATCAGAACCAACATTCCCACATCTCTCACCAGATCTGTATCCGTACTTTGATACCGTCTATCTCCAGGGTCTTCATCTTGAAGTCGACTCCTGCAGAAGAGAAGAGAAATGCAATATTACATCTGCTGAGATTATTTTATTAGACGTTTCAGAAAAATCTGGGTGAAGCCTGAACGTTCTCAGATATCTGAAATCTTTTAATTTGGCTGAAGTCGGTGCGTTTTACTCCGATGAGTAAACACTGTAATCTTTTGTACTTTTGTTAATGTCAGAGACAATAAACTGATATGAGTAGCGCGTCACCGCCTCTGTCATTAGCCTGTTAGCTAATGATATGGCTGAATGATGAGCTCTGATAGTTACGCTGAGGGCCGGAGGTTAGGATCAAAGATGCAGAACCCAGGACGACACGAGGCAGGAGTGGTGATAAAAGTAAAATCCTTTATTTAGGATGACAAAAAAAAAATAATCCAAAAGGGCAGGAAGACAAAACCTAATAACAAAATGCTGCAAAGACAAAACCAAACGCTCACTTTATGAGCAGAGAACTAGAGACCAAGAAGTAAGTGCGTGTGTGTGTGCGTGCGTGCGTGCGTGCGTGCGCGAGCGAGCGTGTGTGTGTGTGTGTGTGTGTGTGTGTGTGTGTGTGTGTGTGTGTGTGTGGTGGTGGTGGTGGTGGGTGGTGGTGGTGGTGGTGGGTGGTGGTGGTGGTGGTGGTGGGTGGTGGTGGTGGGTGGTGGTGGTGGTGGTGGTGGGGGGTGGGGGGTGGGGGGGGGGGACAGAACAACTTCAATTGACCAACAAACACTGAGGGACAAGACAGGGTTTTTAAACACAGAGGGAAGCAATCAGGGGAACAGGTGACAGGTGTGAGGAGTGAGGTCTGGAGGGAAGGCAGGTGCCATTAATAAACTAAATGGGGGGAAAAACTTAAGCAGAGGGGAAGATAAACCATAATCTATGAAACACTAAAAAAACTAAACGTAAAGTCTAAGGGCAAAGATAAAAAAAACTAATGACTAGAGGGGTGAGGAGGACTGATACAGACCAATAGGAACTGCCAGGGAGTGACTAGGAGGAAACATGAAGGAGGCCTAGAGGGAGCTGGGGAACACAAGAAGACACATGAGGAGAACCTGAGTGGGCTGGGGAAGCATAAGGACACACAGAGCACAAGGGGACACAGAACATGACACTGGTCACATCAGAGCTGAAATGAGAAAATAGCATTGGCTCTGGAACCCAAGTCCTTGAGAGGGGTTGGACACTCTCCTTTGGTGGAGTTACTCCGGGTGAGAGGCGGAGGGCTGGGGTTGGCTTTTTGTTAGCCCCAGGACTCTCTGCCTGTGTGTTGGGGTTTACCCCGGGGGACGAGAGGGTAGCTTGCCTGCGCCTTCGGGTCAGGGAACGGGTCCTGACTGTTGTTTGTGCTTATGGGCCAAATATCAGTTCAAAGTACCCACCCTTTTTGGAGTCCCTGGGATGAGTGCTAGATAGTGCTCCATCAGAAGACTCCATTGTCCTGCTGGGGGACTTAAATGCTCTCGTGGGCAATGACAGCTTGACCTGGAGGGGTGTGATTGGGAGGAACGACCCGCCTGATCTGAACTCGAGTGGTGTTTCGTTATTGGACTTCTGTGCAAGCCACAGTTTGGCCATAACGAACACCATGTTCGAACATAAGGATGCCCATCAGTACACTTGGTACCAGGGCAGCCTAGATCGCAGGTCGATTATAGACTTTGTAGTCGTATCATCTGATCTGCGGCCGTATGTTTTGGACACCCGAGTGAAGAGAGGAGCGGAGCTGTCCACTGATCACCACCTGGTGGTGAGTTGGATCAGATGGCAGGGAAAATAACGCGTAGACCTGGCAGACTCAAACGCATAGTGAGGGTCTGCTGGGAACGCCTGGCAGAAGGACCTGTCAAGAGGGACTTCAACTCCCACCTCCGGCAGAGCTTTGACCGCGTCCCGAGAGCAGTGGGGGACATTGACTCCGAGTGGGCCTTGTTCCACTCTGCGATTGTTGAGGCGGCTGTTGCTAGCTGTGGTCGCAAGGTGGCCGGTGCCAGTCGTGGTGGCAACCCCCGTACCCGCTGGTGGACACCAGAGGTTCGGGGAGCCGTCAGGCTAAAGAAGGAGGCCTACAGGGCGTGGCTGGTCTGTGGGTCTCCAGAGGCAGCAGACAGGTACCGGATTACCAAGCGGGGTGCAGCAGTGGTAGTTGCCGAGGCAAAATCTCGGGCGTGGGAGGAGTTTGGTGAGGTCATGGAGAAAGACTATTGATCGGCTCCAAAGAGGTTCTGGCAAACTGTCCGGCGCCTCAGGAGAGGAAGACAGCAACTCGCTCACACTGTTTACAGTGGGGATGGGGAGCTGCTGACATCAACTGGGGCTATAGTCGGATGGTGGAAGGAAAACTTTGAGGAGCTCCTCAATCCCACCTACGCGCATTCCGAGGAGGAACCAGAGCCAGGAGACCTGGGGATGGACTGTCCAATCTCGAGGGCAGAAGTTGCTGAGGTAGTCAAACAACTACACAGCGACGGAGCCCCGGGAGCGGATGAGATTCATCCTGGGTATCTCAAGGCTATGGATGTTGTAGGGCTGTCGTGGTTGACACGTCTCTGCAACATTACGTGGTCATCGGGGGCAGTTCCTGTGGAGTGGCAGACCGGGGTGGTGGTCCCCATCTTTAAGAAGGGTGACCTGAGGGTGTGTTCCAACTATAGGGGGATCACACTCCTCAGCCTCCCTGGAAAGGTCTACTCCAAGGTACTGGAGAGGAGGGTCCGATCGATAGTTGAATCTCAGACTGAGGAGGAGCAATGTGGTTTTCGTCCTGGACATGGAACTGTGGACCAGCTCTATACCCTTGCAAGGGTGATGGAGGGGGCATGGGAGTTTGCCCATGGGAGTTTAAGTATCTCGGGGTCTTGTTCACGAGTGAGGGTAGGAGGGATTGGGAGATCGACAGGTGGATTGGTTCAGCGTCTGCAGTGATGCAGACGCTGAGCCGATCTGTCGTGGTGAAGAGGGTGCTGAGCCAGAAAGCCAGGCTCTCGATTTACCGGTCGATCTACGTCCCAATCCTCACCTATGGTCATGAGCTTCGGGTAATGACCGAAAGAACGAGATCACGGATACAAGCAGCCGAAATGAGTTTCCTCCATAGGGTGGCCGGGCTCAGCCTTAGAGATGGGGTGAGGAGCTTGGACATTCGGGAGGGACTCGGAGTAGAACCGCTACTCCTCCGGATCGGAAGGAGTCAGTTGAGGTGGTTTGGGCATCTGGTCAGGATGCCTCCCTGGGGAGGTGTTTCGGGCATGTCCTGCCGGCAGCAGGCCCCCGGGTCGACCCAGGACACGTTGGAGAGGTTACATCTCCAATCTGGTCCGGGAACGCCTTGGGATCCTGCCGGAGTAGCTGGTGGAGGTGGCTGGGGAGAGGACGGTCTGGAGCTCCCTAGTTGGGATGCTGCCCCTGCGACCAGGAACCGGATAAGCGGAGGGAGACGACGACAAATACAAATAACTGAATGGCCTGTATTTGTATTCTTAGGGTTCTACAATCGCCCAAGGCGCTTCACAACAGAATCATTCATTCACCCGTTCACACACTGGTGATGATGAGCTACAGCTGCCCTGAGGTGCACTGACAGAGGTGAGGCTAATGAACACAGGCACCACCGGTCCCTCCGACCACCACCAGCAATCAAGGAGGGTAAAGTGTCTTGCCCAATGACACAACAGCAGCATTCTCTGGTCAGAGCCAGGATCAAACCTGCAACTTTCTGATTGCTGAACAACTTGCTCCACCTCCTGAGCTACTGTTGCCCTACATCCCATAAAGATGGTAGAACGAAAGCAAAACATACTGGATTAAAGGAGTGCAACACTGAAAACCCATTTTTTAATGATTACTTCTGATTATACTGGGTTATGCTACTTTTAGCTCTAAATTATAAATTTATATGTGTATATTTTAATTTGTGTTCTCATGTTTGTTGTTGTACCATTTTATGCTAATTGTAAAGCACATTGAACTGCCCTGTGTTTGAAATATGCTAAATAAATAAAGCTGCCTTGCTCATGCAGGGTGAACATGAAAAAAGTCTCTCTGCTGCAGCACACTTGTCCATGCTGATTGAAGCACTTATGGACTTTTGTTCCTTGAGTATGGCTTGCAAGGCATTCATTCCTAATAGAAATCCCTGCAGATGAATTGATTAAAATGAGTTTCCCACACCTTTGAGAAAGTGAACAACATTGTTTTCAGTTATGAGCAGTGGTATTTGTCCGTGCTGTTCTGTTTCCAAACATAAACTCTCCTCAAGGAAGAAATATGTGCATTTTTGGACCTCCAGGCTCCCGTAGCAACTCTTCTCTGCTTTTATAGCAATAGACCAATAGATCAATGACAGTACTATGGGTCTACATGTTTTTATAAAGTCATTCATTTTATGTATTTTCTATTCCAAATAGGTCTATTTTTATTTTTTGAGTTGAAGTAGTTTCCATAATCTAGTAATCCTCAGATTTAATTGAACTGGTAGAGGATATGATGCCATTTTTATTCCCTTCACTGGTCATAACGTTGCAGCTGATTGTGGAAAAAGATTGATTTTTAATGAACTTCCAACACAAGCTGTGACAACACAAAGTCTTGGTCAACAGAACCTAATTTTGAACATCTGACTCTTTTCTTATTTTAGTGTTTAATTGTCTCTGTCTCTATTCTCTGACTAATGAGTTTAAGTCCATTAAACAAACAAACCCTCAGGCCTCCAAGCCCGCTCTAATCCCCGAGAAATCTATTAACGATTCATACCAATTAACCTGACAGTCAGCACCCCGGCGTGACAGCTGGCATCTCGCTCTGAGTCCAATCGATTAGCATGGCTCGAAGATCTGCTGTTTTTATGGTTGAATTGTTCAAAGTTTAGTAGAAATCAAGACTGATGTGAGAAAACAGCTGGCAGAAGCAGAAAAGCTGACCTGGTAGTTTTATTTCATACTACCTGTGTGCTAAAACTAGCAGGAGTCAATTGGAGGTCCTCAGAGGTTTGAGTGCACTGACTGGACTGC